GTGTAGCCCTATTAGGCCGCAGTAAACTAATTAACTCTGCTGTAGGTTAATACTTGTAAACACAAGTACTATTCTACAGTGACATTTAGTGCACAGCAATGCATGTGTAGATGTTGATGGGGCTGGTTAGGGCACAAGGGTGTTTCAGTGTTGGGGGCTGCCTGCAGGCTAGTCCCATGCTGTAACATGCTCATGCCCAAGCCAGCCCCTCCCCAGCACACTGAGCTGGGTTAGAGAAAGCCCGGACTGGCAGGCTGAGCCCCTGGGCCCCCTGCCAGCTGCGGCTGCTCCGACCCAACGTGCTGCAGTCCTGGGTGTACATTTAAATGAGGCCCTGGGAACAATAAACTCTGGTACGATATGCACTGGAGTTTATTGCAGTGTATTAAATACATGTGTAGATGCTCTCACTGTGATGTGATTTTCTCCTGAAGCTAAGGACCAGCACAGACCTCACCAGCTTCTGCTCAAAGTATAAGATGTACAACTTTGACCTGCCTTTTCTATATGGTGCAGCACATACATTTAAACTTAAAATAAAGAAAATCCACCAAAACTAAATGCTCCACTGCACATATAGTTCTCCACTGGAGATAGCTTGAGGGAGTGAACAAACCAACATGACAGCTTGGGCATGTTTGTTCATATATCAGTGAAAGGCATTAAGTTGTAACGATTGCAGCAGCACAAGAGCTTATACAGAACAAATACAGATTGCATCAATTTATTTGCTTTACCAACTGATTCTTTTATCTTGAAATATTGTCATATGAATTTTCTGGAGGCTATATGTGCGCGCACATAACTAACTTTGATGTCTGAAAAATATGAGAGGCTGAACACAGGTGAGTAGCTGTGGAACTACACTCTCTCCGACACTAGGACTGTACAACTCAGGGGCACTCCTTCATAGCTCACAAAACAGTTCATCAAATATATCCCAAAGAGAGGGAATTTGCAGTCTTGCTGTTTCCAGTATTCCTGCCACTGCCTATTTTTCCCTCTGTATCTTTTGTTATCAATTGCTGTATTTTTTTATGGAGTGAATTCCACATGGGCCTCTGAAAATCTTCAATCAAAGTAGAAAGCTATCTTTGAGGACCAAGATCTGTTAGCTGGATTGAGCCGCATTTCTATAGATTTATCTTTTGACACATTTCTGGGGTGGAATATATTCTATGCAGTTGTTTTCACAGTAGAAATGTTATCTGCCTGTTGTACAAATTCATTCTACTTGCAGAAAATGCCAATGCCTCTGGAATTCTGATTTACAAGGTTCCCATTCTACTGGATTTTCAGATTCCCTAATCTGACATCCATGTTACCCAATTAGTTCTAAGTGGGTTTTGTTGTTATGATTCCTTTCCTAGAAATGTGTCCTTTTAGGAATTTCAAGTGAAGACGGAAATCTTGTAGCATAATCCTAGGACTCTAGAAGGTCACAACTGGCAATATTTACAACATTTTTCAATATAAATCATGTTCCCTCTGTAAACGTTCAGACTTTTTTTGAATTATTCCTGTAAACAGATATTTAAGATGCAGTATTTGAGATCCATCCCACCTCTGACAGATAATGTTCCCCAAATCTATTATTAGAAGCAGGTTCTGCCAGATTGCAGCTTCCTGGGTGAGAGACAGGAATTGCTTCAGGACATTAATAAACCTGACCATGCACTACCCAAATATGTCTGGAGATGAGGTTATTAATAACTGCAAACAGCTTCACATGCCTCAGCAGATCATGAATAGCAAAGAAGAAAATCTCTCATTCACTGTTGACCACGTATAAGATACACTGTGCTACTCACTAAGCATGACATGATGGGGCCGATGTAAAGGTATGTAATGGTAATATGGTGAATCTCAGCCTCTCAAATCCCATGTCTTTGAAAACATGAGTCTTTTTCTAGATAGGCTCCCTTTCTCAACCAAAAATACATCTATACTTTCTTAGGCGCTCAGATGAGAATGTGACCACGACACATTTTGAATAAATGATTTAACAGTAAAACAACATTCAAACAGGAAATGGAAAGTCAGACCTTTCTGTTTTGTCTCCCTCTCTTGCTTTGTGACCTTGGGAAACCACTGCCCTGAGGCTCAGTTTGCCCATATGTGAGATGGGTCAAAAAGTTCCCTTTCTTATAAGGGGGCTGTGAAACTGCACTTACTTTTTATAAAGACTCCATCAAAACATTAATGGAAAAGATGCCACATAATTACAAAATATGACTATTTTTAATGCTACCTTATCTATGATTGGATAAGTCCATCTTATGATAGTACCCAGTACCTTAACACTGGTGACAAATTCATAAGCTCTTACTCCCAAAATAACAGATCTTATCCCATTCTACATATATTCAATTCAGTGCCATTCTTTTAGAAGCATTGCTCCTTAACACTCCCAAAGCACAGGCAGACCTCGGACTTATGACACAATTGGTTCCTGAAAACCGTGTCTTAAGTCGAAACATTGTAACTCGGACCCAATTTTCTCATAAGAAACAATGTTATAAATGGGGGCTTTTTTCCAGAACCAAGGCCCGATACCCTATTTTCACCAAAAATACCCCAGAATTTTGTACTCGATCAATTATAGATGAGTAATATAGCTACATTAACGTATTTTTTTAGTAAATAGCAATCATATTGATTTGGAAGGACTTCTTAGAGGTGACTTTGCTGGACTTTTGGAAAGGCTCTTGGCTGGACTTTTTGAATGGTTCTTGGCTGGAGTCTTCTTAGGAATCTTGGCTGCAGGTTTTTCTGGAGTCTTGTTTGGTTTCTTAAAGAAAGTGTCCAAGCAAGTTTGAACAAATGTTCTCCAGGGAGATGAACGACACAGCGTACTTGTTCGCTGGTGTGGTGTTGCAGCGGATCAAGCATTGTAAGTTGAAATTGACACCATAAAGTGGAAACAGGGTGTCAATTTATAAATGTTGTAAGTGCAAAATGTTGTAACTCGAAACATAAGTCGAGGACTGCCTGTATACTTTAAGTTGAGAGACTCATACTTTCAATTAACTTTCAAACTTTTGTGGAATGAATTACACCATTATAACAGTGTGTCATCTTCACTCACCAATATTTTTCTTTCCCACTATAGCTTCTGCTATTGTCCTAACATAAATGAGCTCAGGGGCAAAACCAGGGAAGTGTAGTGCTGTAGGTACACTCCACTTTGATTCCTGCTCTACCCAAACTTTAAAACCAGCCGCCTGGGAAGGACAACAACATTTTTACTCAGGCAGCGTTAAGAGAGTCAATTGGCTTCATGGCTCATTATCATCTCTGTGATTCCTGCTAATCTCTCTTCACTCTATAGGTGTTAATGACCCTCCCTCTGTTTTAATGGTTGTTATGTTCCACTATTCAAACTATCCTTTCTCCTGCAATTTTCCTGTCTGTTAGCCATTCCTGGTAACATCTCTTCATTTCATGGCTACACAGACTGTTATTAGCTCTAGCTAAAAGCCTTAAATCAGATGTGGTTATATTAATTCAGGTGTAGAAATGACTGATAGTGATATATTGGATGCACTATCAAGATGCTCAGAGGCCATATTTTATTTTATGAATCTGAATAAAAGATATACATTTAACTAGAATGATTATGAGACTGATGACAATATATTTTGACTATTTTTTGCTTAATTTGTTGCATTTTTATAAGCTTTACATATAATCTAGTAAATGAATGCACATTCTAATAGTTGTATTTGTTTTTGCCTTCATCTTAAACTGAGTGCTAAGCCCGTAACATATTAGTAAAGCATCTAGTTTCTCTTTAATTATAGAAAAATATATATTTTGTTATATGTGATGATGTGCCACAGTCTGCATCCCACTTTTCAAAATACTAGATCCATCCATGAATGTGCTCACGTGGTATTATCTGAGCATATGAGCAGTGGGCACGCAAGTACCATCTGTAAACGGGGCTAATGGTGCTTGCATCCTTAGTAAAATGGTCTGAGATTACTAATGAAATGCCACTGTACTAGAGTAAGTATTCATAGCTGAATTTAAACCCAGATCAACACCAAACTTTTGGGTCCCTGGCTTCTAGAATGGAATTCACAAACTCAAATTAGACACCAATATGCTGAGTGAGGGTGCAAGCAATGGAGGGTGGCGGGAGAGGAAATGACTCCCAAGATAGCCAATATGAAAAACTAGAGAAAGGGACATGTCTGAAATTACAGTTCCCTCCTGGATTTAGGTGCTTCTCTATAGCCCTGAATTGGGCATCTATGCGAGACTTTTTTTCCATATCCCCTTTTTTTTTTAGGTATTTAAAGTCATGCCTTTGAGAATGGATGACTGACTCACTCTTTTCCTTTAAAATGGTGGTGGTGCTGCCTATCTTTCATATAACAGCCTATTGGTTAGACCCTTTGCCTAGGAAGTATGGGACCTGAGCCCTATTCCCTCCTTACTTAAAGAGTATCAAACTTCCATCTCTCAGTGAAGTACCTTAACCACCAGGCAAGGCTAGGATGGGCGCACTTTCCACACTTTCTGTTGAAGCTGGTCTCCTAAGAACGTAGGACTCATAGGAGAAAGATGAAGCAGGAGATAGGATCCAAGGCATCAAGTTTGTGAATCTCAAACAGGCACAGGCAGGAGATAAGTGCTGAGATGGCAGCAGTTCTGGTGTGGCTAGGAGCAGCACTTTGTGCTTAGGCAACTTATTTTACTGGTGTAAACTTAAATGGATTTTGTGGGGTGGGTTTTGTGGACTGGTCTCTTGGACTTTGGCACCTAAATTCCACCAGAGTCCCATTATTGGTGCACACTTTTTTAGATTTGAATCTTAGAGCATGCATGTGTATATATCTGCATGTACTTCTCTATGCTTCTGCTGGCCCTTTTATTAAATGTTTTAATTTTTGTTTAAACGTTACCTGGAAGTTAAACAAAGTTTTGAAATGTTTTATGGTAAAATAAAGTATCCAGTTTTCAAAATAGAATTTTAATTGCAATAACATTTTTAATAAGAATGGAAAGGATATGATAATGCACTAAGACCAACCAATAGAGACCTGCTTAATTGTGGTTTCACAGATTTTGTGGAAACTGTAAAAGCCAGGATTGTCCACAAAATCTGTGAAATCAACCAAAAAAAACCCTTAAAAATAAAATGCTGGCTTCTCAGTGGGAACCAGTGGTCCTCACTATTGGGAGGGGAAGGTGCTGGCTGGTGGGGCAGCATGAAAGGCAGCAGACAAGATGGAAGCTGCCCCTTTGTTCCTGTAAGCAACAGAGGATTATTGGAGCAAATCGCTTACTTACCTAGTTCCACCAGAAGAGTGCTAGCCCTTAGCTCTCCAGACATCTTTGGGGTCCTCAAGGCCCTTTCCCCTGAGCCTAGACCATCCTTAGACCTGGCAGCATGATCTTCGCTGCCACATATCCCTCCCATTTAAATCACCTTGGGGCATAATCTTTTTCCCTGCCACTGGTGTTGCTCATGTCCTCATTTCTCTGGTGTAGTCCCTCTAGCCTCCCAGCCATCGTCATTGTAGCGTTGCATCTTGACAGGAAATCCACAGCTTAATTATCCATACCCGGCCTGTATATAATAAGAGAACATAAATGTCTGTAGTGCCAGGGTCCATCAAGTAATGCGAGCATTATCAGTTTGGGTTTTACATAACTATTGTTTGATAACTGACCATGCACCCCTACAAAACTACCAACCCATTAAGTAGTATCTACAATATTCTACTGCCCACTTTATCACCAGGCACTCCCACTTAATGGTAGCATACCTTCTCTCTGCGGGATTTAATTTTCTACTAGTGTAAGTGGTAGGACATTCCACTCCTTCCTGTTTTTGAGTGAACACCACTCTCAAGGCTGAGTTGGATGTGTCTGTCTGTAGAGTAAAAGGCGTGAAGAAGTAAAGGGGCAACCTGAGCCGGCAAGGGAAGGACAGGTCAGGGAAAAGTATTGAAGCAGCCTCACTGCTGCAGACAAATGCTATGTGAAAAAGACCCTCTTTTCTAGCCAATGCTTCCTCAGGATAAGAGAAAGAAGAATGCGAGGAAAGAGAGGGAAAGGGGCCAGGAGGCTTCCTTGGCTGACCAGATAAATCCAGGGCAGCCTGCAGACTAAAAAGGGAGCATATAAAAAGTGGAAATGGGGAGAGATTACCAAAGAGGAGTATACCTCCTCTGCTCGCACTTGTAGGGAGGCAGTTAGACGGACCAAAGCTACCATGGAGCTGAGGATGGCATCCCAAGTAAAGGATAACAAAAAATTGTTTTTTAGATATATAGGGAGTAAAAGGAAGGCCCAGGGTGGAATAGGACCCCTACTAAATGGGCAGAAGCAATTGGTGACGAACAGGGGGGACAAGGCTGAACTCCTCAACGAGTTCTTTGCCTCAGTGTTCCTAAGACAGGGGCACGACAAGTCTCTCACTGGGGTTGTAGAGAGGCAGCGGCAAAGCACCAGACTGCCATGCGTAGACCCTGAGATGGTGCAGAGTCACTTGGAGGAACTGGATACCTTTAAGTCGGCAGGCCCGGATGAGCTCCATCCGAGGGTACTGAAGGCATTGGCTGATGTCATTGCACAGCCACTGGTGGTAATATTTGAACACTCATGGCGCACGGGCCAGGTCCCGGAGGACTGGAAAAGGGCCAATGTGGTCCCCATTTTCAAGAAGGGGAGGAAGGAGGACCCGGGCAACTATAGGCCAGTCAGTCTCACCTCCATCCTAGGCAAAGGGAAACCAGCACGGGTTCGTAGCAGGTATGCCTGACTAATCTAGTTTCTTTTTATGACCAGGTTACAAAACGCCTGGACGCAGGAGTAGGGGTGGATGTTGTATACTTAGACTTCAGGAAGGCCTTCGATA